CATAGAATGGTACGGTCTCGAATTCACCTAGACTTGAAGAAAGAATGACAGAAACTGATACGCAAGAAGCCAATCAATAAACTAGCACTGAGACGGAAAGTACAGGAATTCAGAGTCTCGCTTTAGAACAGGTACTCGACTCTTATTGAGGAAATTAACCTTAGCGTACATACAATGAATGATAATCTGACGAATATCATTACGGAGTGTGCAGTGGAAGTTGGAGGCAGGGTAGTTAGACAGGACACTGGCAAGCTTTCTCAGGAAACGAAGAATCTCATTAAGAAGCGTCAAAGCATGAAAGTCTCCAGTACAACAGACAAAATAGAACTGTCAGAGCTTTCAAAGTTGATTAATAAGCGTAAGGTATCTGATGTAAGAAGGTATAACATGGAGATAATTGAACACGCCCTGAAAATAGAGGAAGTGTCAAAGCAGTGAAGAGGAAACTTGGAATAGGAAAAAATCGGATATATGCACTAAGGGACAAAGAAGGCAAAATAACTACCAATATGGATAGGATAGTTAAAATAACGGAGGAGTTTTACAGAGATCTGTACAGTAGCCAGGACAACCATGACCTTAATACTATAAGAACTTGCAGTAACCCAGATGACACCCCACCAGTAATGATAGAAGAAGTCAGAAAAGCTTTGGAGAGCATGCAAAGAGGCAAAGCTGCTGGTGAGGATAAGGTAACATCATATCTGCTGAAAGATGGAGGACAGATTGTGTTAGAAAAACTAGCCACCCTGTTTACGAGGTGTCTCCTGACGGGAAGAGTACCAGAGTCTTGGAAGAACGCTAACATCATCTTAATACATAAGAAAGGAGATGACAAGGACTTGAAGAATTACAGGCCGATCAGCTTGCTCTCTGTAGTATACAAGCTATTTACAAAGGTAATTGCTAACAAAGTTAATAAAACATAAGAATTTGATCAACCAAAAGAACAAGCAGGATTTCGAACAGGCTACTCAACAATCGACCAAATTTATACTATCTATCAGATAACAGAGAAATGCTCAGAATATAGCCAAACACTATACATAGCCTTCATAGATTATGAGAAGGCTATTTATTCAGTAGAAATATCAGCAGTCATGCAGACACTGCGGAATCAGGGTGTCGATGAAGTATATACAAACATCCTGGAATACATCTACAGGGGATCAACTGCTGCCATAATGCTTCATAAAGAAAGCAACAGAATACCAATTAAGAAGGGTGTAAGGCAGGGGGATACAATCTCCCCAATGCTATTTAATGCGTGCTTACAGGAGGTTTTCGGAAGCCCAGAATGGGAACAGCTAGGCATTAGAGCTAATGGAGAGTACCTTAGTTACATGCGATTCGCCGATGACATTTCATCGCTGAGTAACTCAGGGGACTAATTACAACTCATGATTAAAGAATTAGACAAGGAGAGCAGAGAGGTGGGTCTTAAAATTAATCTGCAGAAAACGAAAGTAATGTACAACAACCTCAGAAGAGAGCAGCACTTCGAGATAGGTAATAGTGCACTTCAAGTTGTAAAAGACTATGTCTACTTAGTGCAGGTAATAACCGTGGAGCCGAACCAAGAGATCGAAGTAACTAGAAGAATCAGACTGGGGTGGAGCACATTTGGCAAGCACTCTCAAATTATGACAAGTAGAGTGCCACTATCCCTCAAGAGGAAGGCATATATCAGCTGTATGTTGCCGGTACTTAGCTACGGAGCAGAAACCTGGAGACTTAAAAAGAGGGTTCAGCTTAAATAGAGGATGATGCAGCGAGCAACGGAAAAAAAAATGGTAGGTGTAACTTTAAGAGACAAGAAGAGAGCAGAGTGGATTAGGGAACAAGCGGGGGTTAAGGATATCATAGTTGAAATCAAGAAGAGAAAATGGACATGGGCTGGGCATGTAGTGAGTAGACAGGACAACTGCTCGTCGTTAAGGTAACTAACTGGATTCGCAGAGAAGACATGAGAGTTAGGGGGAGACAGGTTTGGTGGGCAGATGAGATTAAGAAGTTTGTGGGTGTAAAGTGGCAGCAGCAAGCACAGGACCGGGTTAACTGGCGGAACATGGGAGAGGCCTTTGTCCTGCAGTGGGCGTGGTCAGGCTGATGATGATGATGACAGCACCTCAACTGACGACTTGAGGCTTTCAGCATTTTTCTGTAATCCATATCACTTGCTGTTGAATCCCCAAGGATTAATAGGGTACAGTGCAGACCTACACTGACATTTTTGTTTCTTTTTTTATTAGCTCTTTGAGGCAAAAATGCACATTTACCACACCGTACTGTTGTAACAGGTATGTGTCGTATAATGAGTTTGGGTAGTTTTGAGTGGCATCTACTTTTGTTCCATAAAATGGGGGGAACATACAGATAAGAGGCTCTCAGAAAAATAAGTTTCAAGATTTATCTTATCAAAATCAGAACCTACATTTTGTATAGGCTTTGTAATAAACTGAGTTAGACGAAAGTCTGAACAAGCTTTTATAGTAGGGCATGTGCTACCTTATCACTAGCTGAGATAGATAAAGTGACAAAACTGATACCTGGAAGTTTAAAATCGCCGAATGTTTATAACTAACACTAAATTTGGCGTAGGCGAGGAGGCTGCAAAATTTGTCAGTAGACCATCATATAAGGTCAGGAGGATTTCGCCCGGTCCTTTAGACCCACATGTTTTTGTCCTGCCACTGTTAAGCTTCAGTTATGGACTAAGTAGCCAAGAAGGGCATCTCTTAATCTGTCTATGTTATGAGAGATTAAGGTGCATGTGTCGTATCAGTTTAGGTCATCGTGCACAATGACTGCATGGATCCGAAGCAAGAAAATCAACGCAATACAGGCATCACACATGAAGCAAGCACTTCAGCTCCTTTGTCAAAGATATGATCGCAGCCCTTCCAACCATGCCCTGGTCACCTCAATAGCATGACGTGAAGACTTCGTAAATCATGTGTTTTTTGACAAAATTGTAGTGCTTTTGTAATCTAGCTGCTATAGGCAACATTGAAAGAGGCTCTCGTGCAGTGCCAGGATTGCCAGCCTAATTCGACTGTAGTAACATTGCCGTCACAGGTGAAATTAATGAATTAGTGTGGTTTTAATATTGGGTGTTGCATTGATTAAATTGATGGCAACCTGTATAGTATGGCTATTAATTCAAGTAGTAATGGGTTAGTCATTTTTATCGCATTTGTGAAGAAAGGTTGGATGAAAACAGCTTGTATACCTTTTTCTTATGTTGATGATAATAACCTTTCTACTTGGAACAGGTTTCTACATGCATACGAAGCTAGAATAGTCAGCCCTGTCTATAGCCGTACAAGGTTTGCAAGTCCTACCTGCGAACCAATTGCTGCACTATAATGCGCTAAAAAAGAAGAAAACAAAAACGTAAGAGCACCTGCAAGTGTTTTATATGGCAGTCTACTTGCGAACATATTCAACTCATACTTAGTGGAAGTGCAGCAGCACATCTAGCCACACGAATTAAGATGTGTGACCCCGGGCACGAGGGAGGTCAAGCTGGTTTGCTTGGTGGTCCAGACACGACTACCTGGTCTAGAGGCACAAGCGACAACATGGCCAACATTCCAGATTTGTTTAAAAGAAATAAGCGGACCATCTCTTCCTCAGAGTGTAAGCATTTTAATATCCAGTGCAAGGGTATAGTTAGCACAGAAGCTTAACGTAGCACGCATAGCACGTACATAAATGACTTTTTTGTTAACTTTTTCATATAAGGCGATAAATAATGTGCTGCATGAAAACTGAAACTTGCATACACAAGTTGGAACGGATTCTTGATTGTAGCAGCGCACTGAAAGATCCTCGTCCCCCAGAGCGCTGCTGAAATCAATAACAATAATGTGCTGTCTGCGACACAAGTTAACAAGTTTCTCCTAAGTACATATTGGACTGATCTTCCTGAATGCCACCTCCTTTGATTTCGAATGTTTGATTATCCTCGCAGAATTGGACATTTATACGCTTGTTCAACAATTGATGCACTTTCTTGCCGAGACGTACAAGGACACACAAAACTCCCGTAAGCGAAAACGATGCAGCTGACCGCATCGTTTCCTCCGCCACTGGGTAAGCAATGCTGTTCGCGCTATTTATCGAGGCTCTGATGACAGAAAAACGTGCCGCAGTAGACGTGGTACCAGAATAGCGTCACTGGACGCATAGATTTCGCGAACTAAAGGCAAGGATGCCCATTAATTTGACACCAGACCATCGATTTCCTCTCGGTCTACCAAAGAAACACTCTGTCGACAGGCAAGGATGCACATTAATTTTACACCAGACCACCGATTTCCTCTCGGTCTACCAATGAAACACTCTGTTGACGTTGCGATGCTCTCGCTTTAGCAGATTTACCACACGGTGTTCGGCGAATGCTCTTAACATGGCACAATGCGATGTAGGACGTACACATGTACTCACATGTACTGTACAATAATTTGGATAGTTGTGGGATCAAAATACTCTCCAAACCGAAGGGCTAACCCGCTGCACCCTCGAGCACATAACAAACTATCAACCTATTTTTTTAATAATACTTATAGACCAAAAATAATTAATTTGGTTGTTAAATTGAGCAATATATACTAGTATTACAAAAATATTATACAAAACAAACATTTTTGTACAATGCGTTAAACTTAGCTTATGTTTAATAAAAACACGTTACACATTTGTTTATTAACATTTTTGTGAGTTTATTGCGTTTTAAAGTAATAATTTGCACATTTGAATAGCTTTACGTTAACTTTTTTTTAAAGTACGTCACTTTTGTGCGTGCAGAAGTCACTTCTGCGTGGAGATAACTGCTGCGCCGCGCGGTGCAGAAGACGCTGCCATTTCTTATCAGTAGTGGCAAGATAAGGGGAGGTAAACTTTTGTAAAGCAATTGTTGATCTTCATATTGGTTTCATTTTCTTTTATAAAGAACTGCGAGATAATTTGGACTAAAATTCCGTTGCCGTGAGCAACCACAGAACACCTAGGGCAACCGGGTTTTGGGTGGTGACTCGTTTTCGGGTGGATTAGCGAATGCGGCTGGCCTCTTTTAATTTTCGGCTAAGCAACAGCTAACAGCGGCGAATCAATGTGCCTACGACCCGTCGCTACTGCGACTGATCGCAGTTGAAGTGGGGCGCGTGCGATTGTTTTAGTGGGCGCGAGCTAGCTGCCCTCCAACCCGATGGAGGTAGCAACAGTCTTCCTTCACTACTTGCTGCTGGCGGCAGTGTTTCATCGGATGACAGTGAACCCATCCTAGCTACGGTATGCGCATCGGCGGGTCTAATACTCTACGAATCAACTCCTTCGTGCAAGTTCCTACCGATTTCTTCAAACATCGTTGTCGTTTATCTATTTTTTTTTTTGTCGTGGCCAGCGTTTCATGATTTTTGGCAGTGCCGGTGAAAGAAAAGACCGAAGTTCAAGGTTGCAAGGGCCCCGCTAGTGCTGATGAGACTCTCGTTTCATTTTTTACCGCTTATGGCAAAGATCACGTAAAGCCTCTATGGCCAGGCATCTCGTGCTTTAATGCGTTTCGGGAGTGGTCGGCCGCGAAAGCTTACGTGAGACTCGCGCTACGGAAGGGATATTCGTTTAGGTGGTGGCGTCTTTGTCCTCCCCCTGGTGTTCTTTTCAGTGGGTGGCGCTGTTCGAAGCCCTTCTCACGTGTGCCGAACGCGAGCCCCGGTTCGAAACAGGCGCGTGGTGCACGCAGCTCTTGGCAGGTGCTTCAGCCGTCACTTGGAATACGACCATGGTGACCAGTGACGTGATCGAGGTGTGCATCGAGACGCTGCAGGGTACTGCCTTTGAGCTGCTTGTCTCGCCTGCAGACACCGTGGTCTCGATCAAGTGCCGGATATCGAGGTTAGAAGGTGAGCCGACAACCAGCGATATCGCCTTTCTTTTTTCTCCCTGAATTTGGTGTTCGAACTGCGTCGCATTCAGTGTGCCTCGATGCGGCGCCGTTCTCGAACACGCCCAGCCAGTATGTGCGATTGACAACGCGAGCTGCGGCCGATTGGCCAAAATTTCTCAACTTTGTTGTTTTTCTTCTTCTCATATTCATTGAAGTCATGCGTAATTTCGCGTAAGCAGTGTTGGGTTCCTTAGTGTCTTGTCAGTAGCGCGACACAGCGTCTTGAAGCGGGTGACGGGGGGAAACCCGAGCCGGCATTGGGGCGTCGGAACCAGGAAAGGGCTCTAGAGATGGCGGAACAGCCTGCATTGAAAGCGGGATGTTTTTGTTTCGTGATACCTTTCATTCTCGTGCGCTCGCGCGCCGGAAAAGCAGAAGCTGGTGCGCGATCGTAAATGAAACCACTGAAAGCTTGTGAAGCGGTTTCCCATGAAAGGAGGTTGAGGCCTTGGGCGGAATCATCGGCAAATTGCGTTAGCGAACTACTTTGCATGGTACTGTGGCATAAAACATGTAGTAGTTAGTTTATAAATATGAATATGGACAGGGTAGAGCAGTGTTTAGTCCGTGCCACGTAAGCAGCTGCAAGGTAACGTCGCCGTGGGTCGGCGACTGCGTGATGTCGAAAAGAATTATTGTCCACTGCTGCGTCAGTGGCATGTTTATGCGTGTCGCCAGTGCCCCTTATTCGGAAAAATCGCAGGCTTTAGACCCGTTCCTGACATCGGATGGGTGCCACGCGCGTCACGATCGTCCACCTCGAAGCTTCTGTACTGTCCGTGTTATTTCGGTTGCGTTTCTTCTCGTTTTCCTCGTGGCCAAAAGAACACGCGCAGTGAATGGTGGTTGTCTGGTTTTATGTTTCTTTTGCTTGGAACGTGTAGTGCAGGCCCATTCACGCCGGTGGGTCGCAGTGGTCGCGCGTTTGTCGCTTTGCTCTAAAAGCGGCTTGTGTGAGGTCGCGCTGTCGGATTTTTCAGACGCGCGACTCGGGTCCATGCGTTCGCAGCGTGGACAGCGACTTGACAAAGCCAACAGTGGTTCTACCCAGACAACACAAATACCTCAGGACGTTCTCAGTATGCCTCCATGAGGACAATATGACATCCTCAGAATGTCCTTGTAAGGTACTATAATGGCACTTATCCGGCCCTCTTGTCCATACACATAACAAGCTGAGCACATCCTCAAAACACTTCAGGACTTTTTCAGTATCTTTTTCAGAACAACGATTGCGCGGCTGGCTATAGGCTGTGATACTACTTTGGATTTACTTATTTTCATAGATCAAAAGAAGAACGCCTGCAAGGTCTAGTGTATGTATACTGTATCAAGCAACAGAGAGGTAACAGTGCTGGACTATTGCAGTAAAACAAACAAAGCTTTTTAACTGAACTTTATTTATTTAACAGTAATTAGTCGCAACTGACAGCTTCGTCTGGCATTCGAGTCCGCGTATAGTCAAAGCAGTCAACACAGCTCAGTCAACCATGTTTATAATGTTCCTCAAAAGTTGGACACAGTGTCCTCGTCACCACGTGTATCGTGCCCAATCCACTCACTAGTGTTAGAGGTTCCGTTCTGACAGCATACCAAAACACTGGACCTAGGCATTGATTTGACTTGCCCAAGGTTGGGCCATGTGTCAGACAGTAAAGTCTATTCCTTCACCTTGAATTGTGCTGCTTCGAAGCACAGTTCACCTTGATCGGCTGGTTTTCTTGCCTGCTTCGAAGAACAACTCGCTGCGGTTGGCTGGTTACAATACATTCATGATCAGTCAACGTTGAGCAACCCAGTGCACCCATAACACGGCAATTGACTTGCCGTCGTCGCCTACGATTTACAGTCTCACACATATCTCACTTTTAACCATGCACACAAACAAGAAAGGGCACGAACCTTTACAAGTTCACTGCACCTTCTCAGACAGCACCCGTCTTTGCGCTCTGTTCTCGTCTTTTCTATCCCCTCCCGTTGTTTGCGCTGTTAAGCACTTTCTTTGTCTACTATGGAGGAACACCAAGGAAAGGGGCCATTCCTGCGATCCATATTTGTAAGCTTAAAGAAGAGGCTCATTCTATGCCCAGAAAGAAGCAAATGTAGGCTGTAGTTGGTGCTGCCTTAGGGCTGATTGTTTTTTAATGGAACCTGTGCAAATGTTCATTCAAATTGTCCTCGTAATGTCAGTTTTATTTGTGACACTTTACTATGGTTATGACCTGTCGCATTTTACCACCTCTGAACTTTCAAATATCTTTCGTTTTCATTTTTTTAATAGTTCGGTTTTCTTACCACAGCTTTTGGTTTTGTTTACTTGGAGATATTAGTGTACCTTGGCACCAAAGCCCAGGAGGTGGTCGTTGTGCTACATAACGTCGTGGTGATTGAACCCAACATGTTGTAATAGTTGTCCAGCCTTGCATGATTGCCTCTGATGCTGCTGTTTGGTGTGAGGACTGGTCTAGCAGCATTAGAGGCAACCGAGCGAGCCTAACGAAGTGAGTGCCTTACTATTGGGCTACTATGCGATTCCTGATGCGCTGTAACTTCGCGGGAAATAAACGTAAAAGCTGTAGTAAAAGGAAAAGCTACCATAGCAATTTAGAATGGCCTGTAATTTAGTCATATTTTTTTGGCAATATTGAAAACCTGGACTTCTAATATATATGAAATCTTTTTAGGGCTTATGACATTAGGCTGCATGCGATTTAAGCATTGAAACACCTGAAGCAGGGAAACTGGCATTTCTTATGCTTTGCCCATTTTTGTTTTTCTCTTTTCACTGAATTGAAGTACGAGTAGGAATGTGTTTGTCAATTTCTACGCAATACGGAGGTTTTGTTGCGATGGCTGCAAAGCTTTTACTATTTGAGAAAAGAAAATATAAATTTCACGAAGCTTGGTGTATATTCTTCATTGTGATGCTTGTAATCCATTTCATATTCTTGGTAATTCGCACTTCTTTTAGAGTGTTGCTTCTGTCTGGATGAGGGTTTTTCTTGCCGACTCCTTTGCTCAGCGCTTTATTTCAGTGCATGTCAACTTGTTTTGACCCTGTGCTTGGCAAACATGATGCATGGCTTCCTGTTTGAGAGTCACGGTTCAAAGGATGCCACCATTTCTGAAACAAAATGTCTTTCTTGTTTAATTTGTTTTTCTTGTTTACTGAAGGTCTGTTTTTAATTTCTTCGATATGAGAAAGCAGCAGACAGTGGTAGTGTTCCTCTGAGATAATAGGGGACTTGTCAGCACTTGGCAGCCATTCTCAGTCTTATCTTGTGATGAACTTGGGTAATTGACGTGTGTACGTGCAATTGCACTGGTCTCTTTTCTCCCGCACCTCGTACCACTGTTTCGCATTATACTAGGTGACAGCAACACATTGCTTTGCCAGAGTAATTTTAATCAGTTTTATACGGAAGCTTAGTTTTATATGGGAGCCAGCTGCTTGTTCGGAAAGAAAAAAATTTGTTCCAGGTCATAGCTATTAAACTGCATTTCGTATGAGCAACAGTGCATTCCTGTCGATTTTGGGAACTAGAATTCTAGAAGTTCCGGTCTTGCCTTCCAGTATGCAGTCTGTTATTGTACCTGTTGGTGGGGTTTTTCCTTAAATCGATTGGTTCTCTTCATTAAGTGTGTGTGCTCCTATCGCATTTTTTTTTACTTGAGCTGCAGCACTTTTTTTTTTTTTTTCAGTGCAAGTTTCTGATCTTCATGCATTTGAAGGTTGACCTTGTAGCTACTTTGCGAGGGCAGGGTTTTAATTTAAGCAGAATGCATCATCTTGGTGCTTTACATGTGAATCTCTTAGAGAGCTGGAAACCCACGAAAAAGCTTCGAAAAGATGACCTTGACTTAAAGGCTCAACTGAAATTTTTGGTTGCATTCACGCAGCCAACTTTCGTGACTGGATTAGTAAAAGATTAATGCGAGTCAAAATAGCAGTATAGTTGTTCAATTTCTTGTGTTCTCTCTACACTAAGACTGACTTCGTGCCAAAGGGTGCATTTCACCAGCATTTGGTAGCCTTGGGTAGATTCAAATAGTCGTCAATCCAAGTTTTGGGTTTCTGTCAGCTTTTTCGTTTTCCATATAATAAATAATGGTTACTGAAATTCGGCACATTCCTGTGGTAAATTTTGCCGCTTCTCCAAAATGTTTTGCATGCTTGCTCCAAAGCTTGCTGGCTCTGCATTTGCGCTACTTTTGGCCGAGAAGTATTCGTTAATCGATGATTCTTGAGTGCTCGTACATCCATCTTGAATAAATAAGGAGCTTATCTGGCATGACTTCCTTTGAAAGTAGAAAAGCAAATTCGAAACTAGCTGTATTAGTGAATTGAACTGCTACAAAACAGTCATTTGTAAAATGAGAGCCTGCTACTTGACAAGCCATAAAAAGAAAAACTCCAAACTGAAATGTTGGGGGTAGCACTGTTTTTAAAGCTCCCACACTACCTCGCTTTGATGCGATAAATTTTAATGGTGCCCTTTGGGGGCCTGGTCAATTGATAAGTGAACTGGCATTCCATTATGGTTTCAGTCCACATTAATCCACAGCAGTCATTGCAGTTTCAGCAACTTTGGTCTAACCTAGCTAACATGGTAGCGTTAAGGAGCTTGTAAGAGAATCTGGGGTTAGCATTTGGGACATTGTTATCTGTGAGCGAAAAAAAGGCTGGTGGATGCAAACAGTAAAAATTGCTATTTGGGACAGAATTGGCGCATTCTAGGTAGTAGTCACATATTCTACCACAGAGCGATGCTAGTGCTTCAGACTGCTTTAGAAGGCTCTATGAAAGCATCATGTTGGTGAGGAGTGATCTGAACAGATATAACAGGCACGAAATAGTGCCTCCAAATTATTGCATCATTCGAAAAGATCGACCGTCACGTGGTGGTGGTGTGGCGCTGTTGATAAAGAAATCCCTTCCATTCGTACAATTGCCAG